CTTTTCCGGAGGGGTCCCTGGGGTTGTTGCTGCTTGTTGCTGATTGGCCAGGGTGCTTCTTTTTGTGTCCGGTTGCGGCTTTCCCACGTTCTTTACACGGCGCCACGGCCTCTGTGGCCGGGGCTACGCTTTGGGTTGATCCAGTTTCCCTTCTTCCCTGTTCTCAGGTTCAGGTCTCAAGTTGTTCGCTGGGTCATTCTGTCTAGCCGGCCTGCGGTCTCTCCCTGTGCCCTTGACATTTGTAGGCTTGCTGTGCTTGCTGCCATCTTGGGTGGCATGACATGGGCTGCCTTTCGGGCATAGGTTTGTTTTGGCAGTCATGCTGGGTCCTGGCTGCATGCTCCCTCATGTATGTTCCTGGGCCAAGTCGAGCCTGTGTCGCCTTGGGTCGGCTGTTGCAGTCTGTTATCTCGACTTCGTGTTGTGGTGTGGTGTGCGCGTTGACCACCTCCCGGTTGCGTCCCTCTGTTTTTGTCTTTGAAGTAGCTCCAGGGAGCCATAAGGGCTCCCCCCAGAAAACCAGCGTTGAATGTAATGAAACGCCATTTTCTGGGCGAGTCCTGGAGGCTCCCCGGCAACCCTCCCTCCCTCCGGTCGGCGTTTTTTTCGTGTTTTTGATAGCCAGTCTTGGAACTGGGGTGTGGATCGCCGGCGCAGGGTCTGGGGCTCCCCCTTCCCCCCTCCCGGGGATAGGGGAGCTGCGCAGACGTGTAATTACCTAAGTAATTACCTAAGTGTAGTTACAGGATGAGAGCTACGCTCGTGGTGTCCCGTCTCCCCAGCACTCTTTGTCATATAATGCTTTGAAACCACTGACGGTTTTGGCCTCCACCACCTTCTCACTTAACTTGTTCCAACCGTCTACCGCTCTGTTTACAAAAGTGAATTTTCGTATATTTCTCTGGCAGCTTTGTTTCGTTAGTTTAAATCTATGACCTCTTGTTCTTGAAGTTCCGAGTCTCAGGAACTTCAGTGTGGTGCAGCTCGTGTGACGTCATGTTTGTTTGCTCGTTTTTCTTTTGGGGAATACTATCCATTCGTTGGCGATTTTTGTTGTTTTAACCAGAATAGGGGTTTGTTTTGTGGCGCTTACCTTTCTGGGTGCCTGTCCCAGTCAATGGCAGATACAGAATGCTCCAAATCACATGTGCATTTCTATGGGCCTTTGGTCCTCATGCCTCTGTGAGGGGGCCCAGGTTCTGGCTCGTAGTCCCCTGTAGGCCTAGAACTCCACCCACATTGACTGATGCAAAATAGTTAGGGTATCCATATCAGCCTGGATAGCTCCGGGGAGGCCTCCGGGACTCATCCATAAAATGGCGTTTCACTACATTCAACGCTGTTTTTTTTTTAATTTAAATAGGCTTCCTTTATCCACTTTATCAATTCCCCTCAATTTCTTGTATGTAGTTATCATATCCCCTGTTGTTTCTCTCCTCTAAGGTTGTGAGGGGGAGTTCTGTCAACCTGTCCTCACAAATGAGGCCTCCCAATTTTAGTATGTATTGTACTACTCTAGTAGCAAGCCTTTCAACTTTCTGTTTATGCTTCACAAGGTGTGGGGGAGGGGGATGGGGGGGGGGGAGAGAAATCATGAAACAAAGGCAGTATGCAGGGAGAGCTCTTGTACTCCACCCCAAGGTGCAAGCTTTTCCAAGACTTTGCCTTCTTTAGTCTCTTTGTTGATCAATTTGTCAGCAGTTTACCTGCCATGTTGTGGGGAAAGAGGTTCTGTTGGGAACTACTAAAAGAGTAACTAAAATATTTCAAGATTTCTTTCTAGTGTATTAATTTGCTGCATATTTTTTATTTTATTTTAAAATATAGGGCTACTAAATTTAATATATATTAATGTTATTAAAATAAATGTTATTATTATTATTATTAATATATATACCATTAACAAATTATTTAAATCATAAAGGCATGCAATATTTGCATAACATTCGTAATTTATTTGTATAAAACATTTGTGTCATCAGACATGATGATGGAAGGGTTATATACAGAGAGGGAAGTACCCCACATCTTCAGGTTACAGCCTCACTCCTGTCCGTGCTACTTGGAACTTTTGTTCCGAGTAGCTAAATCTTAAACAACAACAACAACAACAACCCATTTTCTGAGGGGAGCCCCTAAGGCTCCCTGGACCTTATCGGGCTAATGTATGTTATATTAGACCGGGACATTAGCTATGGAGTTCAGACCTACCAGGGACCATGAGCCAGAACCTGGCCCCTTCAGAGAGGTTTCAGAGATCAATGGCCCTGGAAAATTCCTCTGTGATTGGGTGTTTTCCTTATCTGCCATCGACTGGAGTTAGGTACCCAGAAAGGTAGGCGTAACAAAACAAACCCCACATCGTAAGAAACAAGCGAAGGACGTGACGGCTGCTTTCCGGAGGGGTCCTTGGGTTATTAATGCTTGGTTGGTTCGGCCAGGGATGCATCATGTGTTGTGTCCGGTTGCGGCTCTTTGCTGTTACTTGCGTGCCATGGCTGGGGATGTGTTTTGGGTTGTTCCGGGTTTCCTCATTCCCTGTTCCAGGGCTCGGGTCTCCCAGGTCGTCTGCAGGGTTATTAAGACTAGCTAGCCTGTGGTCTATCCTCGCACCCGTGCCGTTTGGACATTTGCAACTTTCGCTATCGTGTTTGGTAACACTTGGGTTTATTTTGGGCTCGGGGATTTGGAGGTCGCACAGGTTCCAGGCTGCCTGTTATTTTATGAGCGTATATGCTCCTGGGCATTCTTGTTTTGCTTTGGGTCGCAGATTGCAGCCTATTGTCTCGACTTCGCGTTGCAGAGTTTGAGCGACCGCCTCCCGGATCAGCCCTTTCTTTTCCTTCTCTTTGGGTATGAAGTTACAGGGAGCTGTAGGGGCTCCCCTCAGAAAATCAGCATTGAATGTAATGAAAAGCCATTTTCTGGGTGAGCCCCGGAGGCTCCCTGGCAACCCTCCCTCCCACCGGTCGGCGTTTTTTCGCATTTGTTGAAGCTTAGCTTCCGAACTGGAATGCTATGCAGCCGGCGCGGTGAGGTCCAGCCCTCCACCTCCCCCTCTTGGGGAGGGGAGGGCTGCGCGGACGACCGGCGCAGCAGTAGTGTATTACGTTTGCTCATTTCCTTGGGATTGTAGGGAGTTCTACCTCTCTGTTCAGATTTTGTTGTTAGTTTCTTACCATGTGGGATTTGTTTTGTTATGCCTACCTTTCTGGGTGCCTAACCCCAGTCAATGGCAGATAAGGAAAACCGCCAACCACAGGGGGGTTTTCCAGGGCCATTGCTCCCTGAAACTTCCCTGAAGGGGGCCAAGTTTTGGCTCATGGTCCCTGGTAGGTCTGAACTCCATTGATAATGTCCCAGTCTAATATAACATACATTAGCCCGATAAGCTCCAGGGAACCTCCGGGGCTCACCCCGTAAGTGGCGCTTCATTACATTCAACGCTGGTTTTTTGGTGTATATACCCTGAGAGCTTACTGTAGTGCTAGACTATGCTCACAACTGAAGTATACTTGCTGGTTGGTCAGAGCTGGTGTGGTGGACTTAAAACCCTACTCTGGTTGGTAGGCTTTAATGTAAGAGAGAGGCTCTTGTGAAGGGAGAAATAGCAGTGTTACAGTTAGAATAATTGATCTATTATACTTCTCTATTCTATGAGGTAAAAGGAGCATAATTGGCAAGGCTCTGAACACAAGAGCCGTGTGTTCAGAGCCTGTTTTCTTCTGCTGCTGAATGAGGCAGCAGAAAAAAAATAATATATAAGTTTGTGTTTGGTGGTTAACAACCAAATATCAGAAATGAGACAGGGGTACCGACAAGATGTCTGCATCCCTATGTACTGCAAGGATTGAACTAGAAGAAAGGGACCTCCCCAGATCTGTGAGCCATGAGCCAAAACAAGAACAAATAAGTCTGTGGAGCCGAGGCACGTGAGAACTGAAACATTTTTTCTGCCAGGAAATAATTCCTAACAGTTAAGATGTACTTTTGGCAACTGCAGATATGCAACATGTCTAGGTCAAATAGGAAGTGAATGTAATATATATAACACATTAGGAAAGGGTTCGGTTCAGGATAATTTGTCAAAACTGATAAATGGCAAGAAAATAAATTATAATTTGATTAAGTTACCAGTGCCCAGTCAGAATAATAGCTTTCATATCAGTTATAAGAGATGTAGACAGCAAAATGAGAGCTGTTGGAGAAATGACACGACAAATGTCAAGAGTGCAAAGTGGAGTAGATGACAAGTGTATGTGAACATCCTAATTAAAGAACTAACATCTTTACTACAAAAATTTTGTTTGTCCTATTGATTCACCATAATAGCATATCATAAGTAGTGAATAACAAGAACATACAAGAATGGCCAATTTCCTCATAATGTAAACAATCACTAACATACTACATATGATTCAGACCTCAGCTAAATTAAAATACAATACATTAAAATTGATCTCTTGACCAAAATTATCAATAGATCAAGATTATCTGAATTTTGCACCATGCATCAAAGATTAACACTGAAGTGTTACATTAGGAATAACAAATTATGTTAATAAGTTTGTTCTGCACTGTTGATGGTTGTCCTCTTCCACTTAGCACTCTCTCTAATGAATACTTTTCTCTATATAATAATAATAATAATAATAATAATAATAATAATAATAATAATAATAATAAATAATAATAATGTTAATTCAGGTAAAAGTACATACATTCAAAATGAGTTACAAACAGAATGTTGGATTTCTAGAGAGAGCTACAGTACACACTATGCCTAAAGTCACTAATACGCACAGTGTTTCCGGCAAGATGTGGGAAAAACACTTAGACTAAAACTGAAATCCTGCCAGTTTAAATGCACTTTTAGATGCACACTTGCAAATTATGCAAATGTTTGCAAGTACTGGTTAATTAACTTTAAAATGAAACTAAATATTGTAAGTTGATTAGTAAGATTAGGATTAGTTGGCATCAAGCTAGCAGCACTGCACCTTCTTGAGTACAACAGGTGTCTGTTGCACCACTTGGGACCAGTTGACAGGGGTGAGGCGGCTTAAGGGAGAAGCAGCACATTGGACAAGGAAGTCTCGAGTGTAGCAGCGACGAGCAGGAACAGCAGGAACAGGGTCCAACACAGCCTCAAGTGTGGGGCAAGTGGTACCAGGAGTGGAGGGCTCTGCATCATCCCCATCTGAGGAAGAGCCACGGCTGTCATAAGCTACGGTTATTGAATTGGCCCAATCTATATTTTATTCTCAGTGATTTCTCAAAAGGTAAAATAATTTCCACAGGTATCACGAGTGAGGACGACTTTAAAATGTAAGAGATTATATACAGTATTATTATATACAGTATATAACAAAATTATATACAGTAATATATGCAGTATTGTGATTTTACTACTTATCGAGACTGATTTTTTGTATTCACACATAAAAATTATTATGCCTTTCCTAATTGTTTTCACCAGATTTATATTTTGTTAAAGCTAAAGAAATTTAAGGAATTTGTTTTTTACTATTAAATTTTGTACAGGAAGGTCAACAAATACAGTACCATAATATTACAATATAATTTAAGAATTTAATTTGTTACTTTAGCACTTCATTTACTCTGTCGGCATAGAATCTCCTATTGCATGATAATTTGTGTAACAAAGAATTAACATCTTTGTCATTCTAAGCTTACAATCTTTAATTTCCTCATATAAAAATAAGCTGATTAGAAGATTTGAGAATTCGCAAATTTTCACATCATTTACAGTACTACAAGATTAATACTATCGCTAAACATACGCTTTCAAAATACGTTTCATGAGTGCTAATGTACTAGCCCTTTTTCCTTGCACTGAAATTCTGCCCAATTACTGTAAACAGTAATTGGCTTAACTGCTTCTAAAGCTATCTTCAAAATTAGGCAACTCCTCGTTTGTTATTTCCAGGACCATGTTTTAAGGTGCCCTATGTCCCTCCACTCCAGGTTACTGAAATACACTACTACAATCTATGAGGGGAAACTACACAATATTAACTAAAGTAAATATGTCTTGTTAGTGAAGGACCAAAAACTAAACTGTTAATATAAAAACAATGATGTTAATTGCAGGCGTCAAATTCTAATCACAAGATTAATAATTAAAAGTAATTCATATACAATACAGTATATAATACTATATATTTCACATACACAGTGAGAAGCTGATCTAGAAAGAATTATAAAATGGAAGCTCAGATGCTGTGTAATAATCTTTATTGTGAGTGTTTGGTATATCACTAGCAACAACTAAAGTACAGTGGTACCTCGCATAACGATTGCCCCAAAAGACGAATATTTTGGGTAACGAACGGCCTGATCGGCGTCAAATCGTCCCGTATGACGAACGCTGGTTTGAGTAACGTCAACACCACATGGTGGGGTCGCGCTGCTTCTTGCACATTCTTAGACACCTCCGACAATGCACATAAATTATGTTGTTCTTGTTTAAAGATGCTAATGATGCTGGGATATAAAAGGGTGACTGCTGAGATGTTGCAAAGCATTGACGTTTTTGTAGGAAAAAAGAAATGAAATGTCTGATATACAACAAATGTCAAAAAAGTTCGTTTGGTGTTCGGCAGGTAGGCTGCTCCATTATAACAATCTTTCTTTGTTTCAAATGTGTTCCATTTGTTTTTTATTTGTCATTTACGTCTCAATAATGGAGAAGCCTACCTTACACACACTGAATAAACCATTATGACATTTTCCTTTCTTCAAATGTGTTCAATATTTATTTTTCATTTGTCTTATAGCAAAAGGTTCGTTCGGTGGTCGGCAGGTAGGCTGCTCCATGTTTCTTACATACAAAAAACGTAAATAATAAAAAAAATGAAGAATTTTGAAAACCAGTACAAATGTCAAAAAGGTTCGTTCGGTGGTCTACAGGTCGGCTGCTCCATGTTTCTTAAAAAAAAAAAAAAAAAAAAAAAAAAATAAAAACTGTGGAAACAATTTGAAAAATGGACAAATGTCATAAAGGTTCGTTCAGTGTTTGTCGGGTAGGCTGCTCCATTATTGAGATGTAAGTGACAAATACAAAACAAATGGAACACATTTGAAACAAAGAAAGATTGTCATAATGGATCAGCCTACCCAACAAACACTGAACGAACCTTTTGCTATAACGAATATGAAAGACAAGGGCTGCTGGCTGGGTTAGTAGTGCGTGAGCAACCATTTGTGGCACACGTGCCTCTGGCTCTCATACACCTGTCCCACACAGTGTTGAAAGACTGCGCTCAGTCGGTGCAATTCAGACCCTATTGTTTGAAGAACATAAGGGTCATACATTGGTGAAGCTAGGAGCAATAAGGGCTTAACACAACGGTCGGATGCCAGTGATACAGCACCTATGAGGATGATACAGCGAGTGTATCCAGTTGTAGCTCTGAGCCCCACCCTTGCCATCTCTAATGTATATAGATGATACATAGATGAATCGTTTTCTGTGTTCAGTGATGATGCATCTGATACAAGTAGCATAGATGAACAGTGTTAGCGGCTTCTATGGTGGTGGTGTTCATTGATATTTTCAAGAATACCTGAATCTTTTCCTGACTGATGGACTCTCTTTGAAGCTAGCTGAATCTCTTCCTGACTGATGGACACTCTTTGAGGCTAGCTGAATCTCTTCCTGTGTGGGACCTTACAAAGCGATCTTTTCAAGACTACCTTACAAATTGAGCTTTTCCTATAATTGTTTCAATACTACTTTATGCTTTACAAGCTTGGCTACATACCACCTACAAGTACTAAAGCCAAGGGTGCACGCGAGTGCGTTATTTGCAAGCACACAGAACGATGAAACAGGAAACGAAAATCTATCTGTAGCTGGTGCAAGGAGAGCAAAGTCACGCTGTGTACCATGGACTACTTCGTTGACTATTATGCACCTCCAAAGTACTGAGTGTGTAATACAGTATGTTACTGTGTAAATAGTGTGTGAAACTGTACATATTGTAACTTTAGTGAATTTTTACCACGTAATATTGTGACAATAAACATTTATTGTGGACACATTACTGACACGTGCATCACAGTTTCATGGAAAATTATGAACATTCTACTGTATACATATTGTAAAGGTCACAAATATGCATCATATACGATAAAAGAAACAAATAAAACCGCATTGGAAATGCATAGAAAAAATATTTGAAAATTTATTTGTGGCAACACGCGGTGCTTGAATGGCTTGCGCGACCGTGTCTGGGAGCTTCACACACGGGCGACCAGCCCCTGATGACGTCACAGCGCACCTTGTCCACGCCCTCACAGCCGAAGTAAGTGGAATTTGGTAATTATTTTTACATAGACATGTTCAGGGACGGTAATTTATCATTTTACAAAGAAAAATTATATTTTGGGGAACATTTGATGTCATGCACACTGGAGAAATTTCACAATAAACACAGTGCATCACACTGGTTACATGGGGGACACTCGTTTTGTATGACGTCCGTTTCACATGACGAACATGGAACGGATTAAATTCGTTATGCAAGGTACCACTGTATATTCAAATTAGGCATAAAAGAACATTAATAATGCTTGCACAATATACTCTCACAACACTGATAATACACAAATTATTCTGCTCTACATATGATTTAATTATATTCCAGATCCAGACTATGTAGGGAGGAGCTCTCTAGATGCAACACCTGGCAGACAGGCCTATTAGGCTAGTTAATGTTTTATCATCATTTTACTCCCATTTCTTACTTTCATGGGGTGGGCAGGCATCAGCCCAGGCCTAATTTAAAAAATAAGAATAAGGAAATATAAATATATGCCCCCAGCCACTCACCACACTTTATCTCTCACACTACATACCACTACTTCAATATTACACACAACTAGCACTCTCAAACTTGTAATAAAGTCACGGTAGTATTCTACTACATCTCATAACCAGGTATAGTGCATTTCAGCTAATACATATCACAAAAAATTTAACATCTGCTGACCGATTCCATCTTGCTTTATTTCCTTACGAAATGCTGTGTGCTATTCAAACTCATTCCTGCTCTTCACACACATTACTTATGGATGTCCATCATCCACTTTTGTATTCACTTGAATACATTCTCAACTACCCACTCATCAGTACCTTTATTATGACCAAATATACTAAAACTTTCATTAACCTTAAGATGAAGTGATTTTTGTTTTCCACATTTTTCCATATTTTCATTTTCCCTAACTATTTATGCTCCTAACACCACAAATTTACCTTAAGAATGATTTTTACAGTCTCTAACACACACTCTTCCCATGTTCATACCACCCTCTTGCCACACGTGCACACAGGGTCGGCACTGCCACTCCATGCACCCCATTATGCATGGGCTTAATGAAACCCATGCTTTTATTAAGGCAGCCCTGCGGCCTCTCTTCATAACTTGGACGTTTCATACCTCCACCCAGTTTCCTGACTTCCTCTACTTTCAGCATCCCATGAACAAAATCCTCTTTGTTAGGTACAGTGCCCAGTTCCTTAAACTGACAGACTACAGTAATTCTTGGACTTCTTCTTTTATCTCTAGTTGATGCATCAAGCTTCCTTATCTCTCCAATATGTTTGCTTTTCTTCACTCTACTCCTCAATAGTCTTTCACATTATTCCACAAAATTTTAAACAAACCTACATGTGTCCTTTTCATTATCTGCTCTGGTATATTGTATCATTTGCAAACATCCAATTTTAAAACTTGTATTTACGAATAGGAGAGTTAGGAGCATAGGGAGAAGTCATAGGAATAGCAGCAGCAGTAGATGGAGTTACTATATTATCCTATTTAATGGCTTCATGAAGGAAAAAGTGCACATTGCTGAACCAACATTACTGATGATGGATGAATGTTGCTCAGAATATGCCCCATTATAGAATAAATATTTTACCATATTAACATGACCAAGCAGGAATAAGAATAAATAAAAGAAAAAGCAATACAGTGGCACCTCCATTTACGAATTTAATCTGTTCCCAGAGACGGGCCGTAACTCGAAAATTCGTAACTTGAAACAGATTTTCCCATAAGAAATAATGTAAATTGAATTCATTCATTCCACACTCCCAAAAATATTAACTTCAAAATATATTGCATACATAATACACACACACATATTTTGTACTACAGTATGTACAAG